CTACACAAGCAAAAGTAATGAGAAACAACTTTATTCAGTGACCAACTGACCCTGATGAAGGCCACAAGCTGAAACGTGTTGGTCACGTTTCGGCTTGTGGCCTTCATCAGGGTCATTGTAAAATGTCAAACAGTTTGTGTTTAAATAAAAGCCAGGAAACAGATTTTTTTTTTTAAATGGACCTCTTCACAAAAGAGGTGTTGTCCGATGGGGAGATTTCTCCAAGGGAGAAAACATTTTTGCTCAATGAACATTCCTTCAGGGCTTTCATATATATATATACATATATATATATATGTATATATATATATATGTATATATATATAACCGAAAATCCATAAAAACCTAGAAGAACCGCCTGGAATTGGAAGTTTAACTGAGAGAATATCAGGTTTTGCAGACTTCCACATCAAGAATTTTGTACCAACTTTGAACTCTTACATAAAACATAGCTCTAACGTTTTGCTTTTCCTCAAAGACTTCCCACCATTTGATACAGACATAATATTGTGGACTTTTTTGGACTTATTGAATCTTTCTATACTAATATTAACCAGGAACAGGGCCTAGAGACCCTGGGACATTTCCTTGACACTAGGTCTATAAAATATCCATCTACCTCTTTCCTTATGAAGCTGGTTGCTTCATAAGGAAAGCAACTCTGGAAGGGACCAGTCACTGCATTACTGGAGTTTGTAGAACTCTTAAATAAAACAAAGTACAAAAATAAAGTAAAGTAAATGGACATTTTTCAGGCTTACAAAACTATCCTCAATTTCAGCACTGAAGAAATCAACTTCCCTGACATAAAAGTAACAAAAAAAACCCCAAATCTCTGTCACATCTCTGTACTCCAAACCTACTGATAGGAATACATTACTTCATGCTGGAAGTTTCCATCCTAACCCCCTCAAAAAAAGCTTACCTGTAAGCCAATTGATAAACACACCTGGGAAAGTCTGGAACAATAGAATAAGAGCAAAGAAGAGATGTTGAATAAATTAAAGAAATCCTGATAAGCCATTAAACCCAGTCAAAGAGATGGTAATATTAATTTGTCAGGAAAAAAAAGAGAAGCATTCTGGATATTTCGTTTAAAGAGTTTACATCCTAGAGGCATGAATGAGGATTTTTCTATTAATGGTTTTGTGTGAATTGTACCTTTGTGTTTTTATATTTTTTAACTACATTTTTCCATTGTCTTCCTCTTTTAATGTTCCTGTACTTATATTTACTTTTAATTTTTATATTTTTTTATTCTTTATATTAACTTATTTGCATTTTTCTGTGTAATTTTGAGTATGTATTACGTTAAGACGTGGGGATTTTTCCCCTCCCCTTTTAATCTTTAATGGTTTAGTCCAGAATCGAAGGCTGTGACTTGGGCTGTGACTTAACTAAATGACCAATACCACCTCGTTAAATGTCAGTTGGTCAGCTGGTTTATTTGTGAAGGTTTGATTATCCATTTGAAATTGTTTTCTGTTTC